GAAAGGGGGAACAAAAAAAAAAAAAAAAAGCCCCTACCCCTAAATCGCAGACCATCACAATGTAGCACTGATGGCTCTTCTTCCCATTTGACAAGTGGTAAATCTGGGATATGTGCAAACGCTATGGCTACATCTGAAGTGTAGTAGTGCATCATTAGGCATCTGTGTGTGTGGTGCACCCTGGCTGATAAATAGGCATGGAGCATGGCCCTGAGGGGGTAGTGGGGCTGCAGGGTGACACATCATTTCAGCTTCTCCAGATGAAGTATTTTGTCTCTCAGCCAGAAAAAGTTCCTGTTTTCTGATTTAGGAGCAACATGGTTCTGCAGAAAACAGAGGTTTTTTTCTGGAAAGGGAAAACATTTCTATTGAAAATCCTATTCAAAAATAGTTCTGATGCTGCAATGTTGAATGGCCCTTGCTGCTACTGCTGGGTTTTGTATATTCATTAGTGTCACTACTGTGACTCCCAATAAAGTGTAACGCTGCACATTCATTTCAAGTTCCTGGATGACAAATTACCTGGATGCATCCAATACCGTATGTACCTATTGATTAAACTTAATTCAAGTGCCCTCCCAGGCTTCCAGCACATGAGCCATCAGGGCTCATTGGAAATAATTTGTCTGACAATTTCAAGATTAATGACCATTTTTCAGAATGTTTTAGCATTTTTAACGGACGACTAGCCAGAGTATACAATATAGTAACCTTGGAAAGCTGGACTGGTCACAATGATAAAACATTGGCAGCTGAGAAAGACACAAAATGAGCTCAAAACAACCCTTGTAGTTGCACATGGCTGTTCGGACCTTTGCTGTCCTCTCTGTGCAGTGGTCAGCAGCTGGACGTGTCAGTGATTATGTATCAGATCAGCCACATTTTCATTTCATAATGCTCAACAAACTTTATACTTCAGCAATCCTTGCAGCAGTACAAAGTACCAGGTCTCTGACTTGACTAACTTAGTCAGCAAACCGAGTCTAGTTTTGCCCCAGATAAATATGCCTCTCCATTTAACACAGCAGGCTCCAGGTCTCCACTGCCTCGCCCCAGTTTCACAGTGGCCTGGAGGCAAAATACTGCGCAGTGGTGACTCAGGGCCAGTGCGGGGGGAAGGTGGGAGAACTGGTATGTGTGTCTGTGATCTAGGGAAATCCAGATGAAGCAACAGGTGGAAGCCACTGTGAGGAGCTACATCCATAGGAAACATTTGCAAGAGCCTTTTTGAACCCATTGCGTTGTGCAGAGGCTGAGAAGCATCAAGTACAGACCATGCGGCCTCAGGCAGTGAAGGAAGTAGACATCTCTCAGGTTCTTCGGGTGTGGGTGATTGCCGATTATCCCATTGCACCAGGAATAAAATGAACCATTTCATGTGTCGAAGGACAGAACACCTGCCAGCGCCTCCCCAAATCAAAACAGGAACCTCTCCAGATATATGAGAGAGAAGCAGAGAAACCTGAAACTGCTTCCCCTGCCACAGCTGTGAGAAATGTGTGCCAGCAGAGGGCTAGGTGGTCAGAAGACAGCTTTATTTCCGAGGTCCTTACTGTTTTGCATAGCTTTTGAACTACCTCAGGTAACCAAAATGAGTTATGAAATTCAATTATCCAGATTGGAGGAAAATTATGTACAAAATGAAACACACGTGTACAGAACAGGCAAAAATGAAATGAAAATGCAGACATGTCCAGGGCTGCCTGAGGGTGAAGAACCAGTCTTGTAACTTGTAATTAATTATTCAATTTCCATGTTTGCTGCAGAAGATGGGTGATTAATATCCTTCATTTTTGATAAAAGTATAACATAAAGAGAAGTGTAATGCTATTCCTTGAGACAGCAACATGTGACAGTATCGAGACAGATGAAAAAAGGAAAGGTTTCATGGAGAGTTTTTCTGTAATTTCCTTTTCACATCTTGAATACAAGGACCAAAGCTTAGACCTTCAGCTGTGGCTGAAAAGTACTTGATGCAAAGTAGGCTCCAAGCCTGCAGAAATACCCATTGTGTCCCCCTGGTCCTAAGCTGATCTTGTCCCTCCCAGTCTGATACTTAAAGGCATATGTTGTAAGTGCCTCCCAGGAAGATCATCTGGGCTTAAGACAGACACTTACTTTTAGCTTCTGTTCAGCTTCTTCTATTGGCCAGTGCCATAAGCATAGGAAATGCTTGACTGGCTCTACATTGGCACTCGACATAAGCATTGCTTCCAATGTCTGGTCCCCATTATCTGTATAATGCACATTTTTTACATTCCCAGAGTCTTTCTTGACTCCTAATACGCTGCAGTGTGTTCCAGTGTATTAGTAGTGTTCATCTGGGATGCTGTTGTTAGCAAGTGCTAGACAGTAAAAAAATAGGACCAATCCAACGCTGCTTTCCCTACTGGGTTTTACAACCTGCAACACCCCGTTCGCTGCAACATTGAAACTCTGGTTCGAGCAAGCATGTTTAGACTTAACCTTGTAGTGCTAGACAATTCATAAACCAGGCCAGCATTTTCCTCATTGTTCTCGCTCACAAACTCCATAGAAAGTGTTAACAGTGCTCAGTAGACTGGTGCTGGACAGTGCACGTCAGTCTTGCTAGGAACAATCCTCGGTAGGTGAGAATTAGCCTTTCTGGAGCAGAGACACCATCACATATCCCATATTGGGTAATAGTTTCATGTTGCAGGTCTAGATAAGAAGCCCCGTGTTCATCTCAGATTTCCTAACAGATATTTGGAGTGTGCCAAAAGACTAACTTTCTCTCTCCCAAACTTACTCTCTGTGAGTCACTGAATACATTTTACTGAACAAATAAATAGTTAACAGATTTGTATGGAAGAGCAGCCGAACTGAAGGAGATGCCAAAAGTTTATTTAAAGAGCATCTATTTTAGCCATGTATTTTTAAGTATCACTACTATTTACTCCTGAACACCACAGAGCCAGGAAGTATTTTAGCTAGTTTAACCTAAAAGCTCTCTCTGTTATGCAAGAATCATATAGCAGGGTGTAGCTTTTCTCACCGATACCTACATGTGTTGAAGACACCGGCAAAGACCCAGCACTGGCCGTATCGCACTGGTTGCTTAGAACTGTAATACTCCAAAAGAATGTCCACGCTTCCTGTCCAGGCTGAAGGTGCGACCCCGTAAGTGTATGCATTGTCCCAGGATCCAGCAATCACACCATTATCATCCCTGGAGTTGATCTAAAGACAAAGGAAATGAGCATTAGGGATGTCAGAGACTGAATAATAAAGAGCTCTTTAACCCCACAGACAAAGATAGGGTGGGAGAGACTGAATATAGCCAAGTTTAGGCTAGAAATAAGACAAAAATGTTTAATTATGAAGGTAGGAGATGAATAGAACAATCTTGCTAAGGGCCATGGATTCTCCATCACTGAACAATTTTGAATGAAGGTCAGACACTTAAAAATAATGGCAAAATTAAATCACCACACTGAGCATCCATGTTGCCAGTTTAGTAAGTTTTATTAACATTAAACATGCTTATTGCTATGTATTTATAATAAACATGATCAGTTATAAACTGATAAGCAAGCCTCAGAAATACTAAGCTGGATTCTTTCCTAACATCGTTTGTTTTTTCTGTCTATATCAGCCCAGAGATTTTAATAAAATCACTCCTGATTTACAGCAGATTGAGAGGAGAACCAGTCCACTGTTATTTTTAGAGTAGAAACTAATTTCTTCGGTCCAGCACACATGAAAACAAGAAGGAATTTGCTGCATAAGTTCTCCCCTAGTAAGATTATACAAAGCAAGGAGTTTTGCTGACTAATGGCTATACTGATAGGCATTAACGAGCAATACATCTCCTAGCTGCAATTTGAACCAAACCAGTTGAGGCTGTGCAAAAAGCTCATTCGCTCTGTACCTTTTAATTATGCTAATGTGGAACAGCTACGTGCCAGCCAAATAAATCACAATTCTCATTTAAAAGCTTTTGGCTGGATTAACTACTGTTTTATAATTAGAAAATCGACTTGCTGTGAACCCTAGGACTGAATAAAGATAAGTATTCAGAGTCATAATCAAAGGGTTAAGGGGTTGCGCCCATCTCACTGTTGTGGGAAACATGCCAAGAAACGAGGCACTTCAAGGACAGGGCAGAGTGTTGATCTTCAGGCTCTCCTCTGGATGTAAAGAGACGAAGAAGGGGGTGACTCTACCTGCTCTGCAACATCAGGAAGCCTCAGAAGCATCCCAGCATGGGGCACCTCCTCAGACAAACTCAGCACTACCATGTCACATCTTGAGCAAGAATGAGGGTAAGGAACACGGGCAGGACTTCAACACCTCTTGGCCACTTCTTACTGAGGTCCAGATTTCAGATGGCCAAAACTCCCACCCGCTATGGCCTAATCCTGCAGATTAGACCTAAAGTCCATTGACTCCTGGCTTTCCGATGGTGAACTTCTCCACCTCCCTGAAATGATTGAGTGGCTCAAAACCTAAATAATATCCAAGCCCCCTTTGGGTTCATATACTTTGTGCTATTCTGTCCATAGGGCTTCCAGTGTCCCTGCATGAGGGACCCTTTACATCTACCAGCCCAGTTATGAGGGAACCACATTCAATTCTTACTTCTGTCTGAAGGTCTGAAGCCATATTTCTAATGTCTGGGGTGAAAAAACTAACCAAACGGTTAAAAGAGAAAGAGAAGTGGGGGTGCTCTCAATTCTTCTTGCTGAAGCTGTTCTATTTAACTTGATGTTATGTAAAAATCAGCATGTGGCACTGAGAGGCTGGAGATCCCATTTCAATGTTGTCTAAGACAAAGAGCTCATTCTCTTAAAGCCTGGGCAAATGCTGTAACAAGTGGATTAAAGGATTATCCATCTCCAGCAGCCATGTTTCGTAGACAGTCTGTTTTAGTAGCTGACTTTGGAGAACATCTAATGACGCTAGGCTTGATGAATAGGGTATTCTTCTGGGAAGCAGAAGGCATCAGTTCAGACCTCTATAAGGCAGAGGAGAGGATGCAGCTTCTGCCTTCCACATCCTGGATGAGTCTTTCATCTTGCATACCAGAGATGGGGCTGCTGTTGTACCCACAGCATGACTCCTGCTGCCTAGCAGCTGGAAAGAATGGAGGTGTGGGAAGTCTTCTCCTTACTTTTTGCTTCTGGTTATTTTAGGAACCTGCATTCTGAATACAGTAAGTTTTGTGGCCCCATGTTTAAGAGCACAGCTCTCACAGTGCTTTCTTCTGGGGCCAAGGTATCTTACGTAAATGTCATCAGCTTGACTAGGCCATCTGAGGCTTAAAAATCAGACACAGTGACATCCACCATGGCAGTGTCTTAAGATCCCTTTGAGGTTAGTCCACATAAAGTCTCTCAGTTCCCCATCCCAAATTCCACCCACCATGCCACCTTACCATCCATGCCAGAAATAGCTTTCTCAGTTATCTCAGCTACCAGAAAGTGAGCACAGTGTCACAAGAAATGCTATCATGCCTGGAGTGCAATGTCTAAAAGTGGCTTTTCTACCAGTGAGGTACCATTCTCAGGAAAAGGTGATGAGCCGACATAAATATCTCACCTTTAGTGGAGCGAAATAAAATGCCAGACCCCAGAGGTCAGAATGGGCAATTGATCTGGCACCTGTGGGAGTGAGCACACTGGGGCACGAGGGCCAGTTAAACCAGCCTGGCTTTGATTTATGAGTCGCTTCTGACACATCTTAGGCATCTATTACATACCACTGCAGAGACAACACGGCAGATTTTGATTGGGTTTCCACGCCCAGAGAGCTCCAATTCTGCCTTGTCCATCAGGAACAGGCAAGCATCCAGAATATTTTCTTCAAACTAAAAAGAAAATAAAAAGGGAAACAGAAAGAAAATTGAGTCACTTTTTATTCTGGAAAGCAAAGGAAAACTTATCTTTCATTGTTGTTATAATAGCTGATCAGCTTCAAAATTAGCTGGTCAAGGCAAAGTTCTGTGTTTAAAAATACAAGTTTTCTTCTAGTATAATCACTCATGTATAGCAAAAAAATGTGAGATGCTGTGAGGGAAAAGAGTGTCATTTTCAATTCAATCTCAGTCCGGTTTCCAGAAGGTTAAAATGACAACACAGCCTTTCTGACAGGACATAAAATTTTAAGTGCTAACAAGTATATAATAGGAAGATATTATAATAATAACTACAAAAAGCTAGTCTGCTTGCGAAGGACTTCATGTCCTTCACAGATTCCAGACCTGTTAATTTTAGGACCTCTGTGACACAGCCAATGCAATGCTGGGAAGCTGAACAATAAATGGTTTGCCAAAGTTAATTTGAAGACACTTACATTTTAAAATTAATTTTTAAATATGTTTAAAATTGACAAGCCAAAAGCTGATTATATAGATTAAGCCTGGTCTACGAAACTTAGACATCAAAAATACCAAGTGACCTAAAGTAGTCTTCTTCAAAAATAGAGTGAAAAGGTACAGTTTCTTCGATCCAGCATGAACAAGCACAAGAATGAATTGAGGGCAGAGGTGCCTAAATAGACCAGAAACTATTTGTCACAGAACTTGCCCTGTGATGTATTTCATTTTCCTTAGGAGAAACTGCATAGCAAAGGAAAATAACTGTCCCTTGAAAACAGTAGGAGACAGGGAAATGCACATTAATGAAACAAATATCTTCCAGATACACAATCTTATATTAATACTCAAGGCTGATACAGAAACTCCACAGACCTCATCCCATTGCCATGTTAGGCTTTATGTTCAACGTTTGCATCCTTAAATATGATTCACACTAAGAGGATTTTTGCTCTCATGCTGCTACTATAGCTGGATTGATTTTGCAACTGTCTCCAGCCTGGCTTAGGGCTTCTTGGCAGATAAGGGTGATCTGAGTTTTGCCTCCCGAAGAAAGTGAGCAAGAGCCCAGGCCAAGGTGCTGCTTCGGCAGCCCAGGGAGAGGCAGAGGAGAAGGAAGAATGAGGCCAGAGAGCTGAAAAGGAAGCCCCAAAGAGTCAAGACTGCTGCTGATGCTGCAGGGAAGATGGGATGGATGGGGGTGACATCCCAGGCAGCAGCCGAGCTCTGGCATAAGCCAAGAAAGCAGAGGCACCACCGTGTTTCACCACCCTCAGCCATTTCCTGGCCAAGGAAAATCCTGTTCTTTGCCTCTGCCTCGAGCCTGCCTGGCTCTCATTGCTCAGAGTACCACCACCATATGGATCCTTTTCAGCAAACATCCACCAAGGCAGCACACCTCTCTCATCATCACCCACGCCTGCATTGAATTACCTTCTCTGGAGCAGACATTCACTAGTGAGTAACATCTTATAGTCTGAGCAAAGCTGAGTTCATGGTGTTTGCGCAAATAGGGAAAGAGGGATCAGTGTTTCCCAGGGACCTACTCCTAATATTGTATCATCCCTGGGAAGCTGAATAATTGCATGATAGACTCTCCAGTCCACTCCACTGGTATGTGATGTAAATAATCTTGGGTGAATGACTGTGCTGTAGAGACCCTCCTTCCTAAGGAGTATCCTCACAACAGATAATGTAAACTTGGGGCTTCATAGCCGTCCTTCCTGCTTCAAGTTCACTTTTCTTCTGGTCTGGCCCAATGATTTATCACTTTCACCAGGATCAAAATCTGCTTTCTGCACTTCAAGTCATCAGCAGTGCCTAAGACTGGAGTTAAATCAATAAGAAGTTTACCCTGCAAATTAAATCTTTCTCATCTACAGTTTATGAGACGCTGTCAATCTTGTCAGCATATACAGGAAGAATAAAGAGGAAAGAAATTGCTATCAGGGTTGTTGCCTTCCACCTTAGCATTTAAAAAATGACATGAATGATTGTGAAATAACTGGATTAACAGGAGAAGAGGTAGGGCAAGCTGTAAAGTCTAGCTGCCTTACACTGTTGCAGTAGTGTAGGATGCAGAGTAGTCTTAACTCTAAAGCCAGTTTTGCCCTTCTTCACTATCCAGGGATTTAAAAACATTAAATCAAACTAAATTGGTTTCCTGCTCTCACTCTTGGCATGAAAATGTTATCTAGAGGGAAATGGAATAAAAACATAGCACTTGTAAGTCTCATCATCTCTGAAATGTCAGAGGAAACAGAGCAGCAGCAGGCAGCCAGGACAGGTGAGTGAACTTGGGCCAGGAGCAGGCACTGCCTGCTCAACACAAGCTGAAATGGAGATAAACCAAATTCAGGATCAAGAAACTTTGGCAGAGCCACCTGGGAAAGACTTCAGATGGAAAACAAGGCATGAGAAAACACACAGGCAAAGGGGTTCTGTCTGCACACAGACGTGCATCGTGTTACAGAGCAAAGCATTTAGTCGGGCTGGCCTTCAGTGGGCATCCTCTCTCATGCTAACCTGTTTCTAACAGATGACCTTCCATCTAAATCAGAGTAAAAGGGGCTGTATCACCTTTTGCACTGGTTGAATTAGGGCTGTATTTCTCACCGTCAGCTGCAGGCAGATGTGATTTCATGTTGCCTGTGGTCTGATCTGACCAAATGCACATGCTGTAAAATTACATGTGCACAGTGGGCTGCAAAGCTAATGCAGCTCGGTGTGTGGACATGAGACAACTCAGGATGGCAACAAGAACTCTATGCCCACCTGTTTTAGTTTATTTTTCTCACAAAAAAGCAATGTTAAATGATCAACACAGCATTCAATTTCTGACATTTCTCAGCCAGAGAATTCCTATGGGCCTAGATTTCTTCCAAAGCCAAATTTCACCTGAATCCCCTGTGGGCTTTTCTGAGTGAATGGCTATTTACGCTTTCTTAGAAGAAAGGAATCACAGTCATGTTACAAGGAACATCTCCATCTTCATGCATTACAGCCATGTTTTAACTGGCCTGTTGTTTTTTCTTCCTCGGCCCATTTTTCTTGTCTTTCCTCTTCTCATGTTGATGGTGCTCATTAAAGACAGCAGCTGTGAGAATCATCTCCCACTAGTAACCCAGTTTTGAACTGTATGTTCCTTTTTAATTTACAACCTGAGTTAAAGCTTCCAGCTGTCATTGTTCAAAGCAATTTTTTAGCCTAAGAATATTACCATGCACAAGTCTATCTGTATTTTTGTATATGACCATATACCTTTCATCTCTATGATTGTGTGGCCTTATGCTTTTTACTTAACACTGTTGTACAGGGCTATATGTCATAAATACAAGATGCATACATGTGTGATATACCTATAATATAGGCCTTGCTGCTAGTACTTTTACTCACTCACAGCAATGCTCTTATTCTTAATATCCAGGATTGCTGAAAATGAGGAAGATGCATGTTTTTAATGGCTGGAAATTGTCTGGGTAAGATCAGGAACGTTACGTCCTCCATCTCACTGAAAGTGAGAGAACCAGAAGAATGTATCTCCATTGCTTTGCAGTTTGAGATGTCTGTTACACCCATACAAAATGATTGATCCCATTAAAACTGTTGGCTTGGGCCCCTTTAGATACATCTGCCACACTCAGTTTTCACACAGGCAAGTGATAGCAAAAGGTGCACCACAGCACAGTGTGGAAATCAGGTCCTCCAATTTCAGACAACACAGGAATGAAAGTACACGACAAAGGGATATGGAACAGCCCTAACCTCCCAGGCAGAACCACCTCCTAGCAAAACCAAATAAATAAGGCAGTTTCTCTAGGGAGGCTGGTGTTTTTGTCAGGAACGTACCAGATTTGCGGAATACAAGCACCTCAGGCCAAGCCACCATAGGCCATAAATTTAGCATCTTGGGACATAAATTCAGCAGCTGGTTTAAGCAGTACTGTCCACCTCCAGCCACTCATTCCCCTCTCTCCCTCCCCCTTACATCTGTCATGGAGTGAATCCCAAATCTAGGAACAGGGCAAGCCCAAAAAATAACCCAGGGGAAAGAAAGGAAAAAATCAAGGAGACGCTTATTCAGCTAGATCAGCTCTTCAGTCCGATTCACTGCATGGCTGCACAAGCACTTGCAGGGGGAAGGAAGGGCCAGGAGGGGGCATTTTTGGTCAACTTAAATGCACACCCAGCTTTGGCCTCAGGATCCGGTTCCACATCTCTTACACCAGAGGCACCATCAGTTTATGGAGTTGCTCCCCACCACCACCTTATTGAGGGGTTATTTTTATCTCAGTCAGGATGACAGTCAGACCCTGCAAACAACAGCGCTGACACAACCAAAGGAACTGTGCAGAAGCAGGAGCTCCCTAAGGCAGTGCTGCCGCAGGAAAAAAGATGAAATTGTACCCTTAAATGAGGAAACAAGAGAGATGTGAGTTCGAAGAGCTCTCCAGGGCAAGTACACTGGCAATCCATCCAGCTCAAGCTTTGAGATTGTCTTTAGCTGAGGGAAAGAAAGCAAAGCAAGAAGGCCCTTTCTGCAAGGCTGCACTGGGGAGGTGCCACAAAAACTGAATGGATCCATCACCATTGCATTAAAGAAATACTTCAGTACTTTCTTAATTGTGCTGTTGTGAAAATCCAGGAGGTGAGATGTGTAGAGTTCACCATGTCCAATAACTGCCCTTTGGAGCCCCTCTGAGTGACAGCTAGGGTTAGTTTCGCTCGTTTTGGTTCAGCTCATTAATGCCTTTTCCCTATTCTCAAACAACTTAACTCTTTCATCCCATAGGGATTTTCAGGCTGGTTAGTTCTTACAAACAGACTGAGGTAAAATAGGCAAGCAAGCAATAGGAGTCTGATGTTATTGAAGGCACACCAATACCGCACACCAGCCTGGCTGGGGGTGTTCCCCACGGGCTGCAAGAGGCCACTGGAGGCTGTTGTCAAGTCCAGGCAGCAAAGGGAGAGGTTCCCCGGCTTTGTCACTGTGGCAAGGAAATTTAAAACTCTGGGATTAACTCCCAGTTTGCCACAGGAACCCTGTGACGAGCTGACTCCCCCCGAGCAGATGAGATTAATTTCCATCAAGTTGCTAGAACTAAAAGGAGGAGTCAAAAAGCAATACAACCTATTGCTGAAAAATGAAAAAAAAAATCTCTCTACTCTTTCATCAAATCAGTTTGATCCTGAAGCAGCAATAACGTAGCAGCAGAAATACTGCTGCACTGTGGAAACCTCAGCTAATGACTATAACTTTCAACAGGCAGCCTCATCTGAAATACGCCCCTAAAACAAGATCTTTAAATATTAGCTATTATAACATTGCTTTTCTGGATTAGGCATATACCCACTTCATACAATTTTAAAATTATGCCCCTTGTCTTTCTGAAGGAGAGACCAATAATGCATTCCAGAGCCCACAGTCTCAACCACAGTCTGGTGTCAATTAAATTCACCTGCTGTACTGCCAGGAGCAGCCAGAGAAGGTCTAAATATCTCACCTGACCGTAACTCCAGCTTCTTAATTTTATGTCATTGATGTTTCCATGGAAGACAATACCAACATCATTCAGGACATATTCTTCCCTTTCCTTCTCATCATCCAGATACACGGCATCCTCTGCATCAGTTTACCAAAAATAAATGTTAGCACAGTCACTTAAGTTTTCATATAGGACAGATAAAAAATCTTAGCATATAATACAGTCATCTTTGATGAAAAGAACCCCTCTCCCATCAAACAAAGCACTACTTGCTTCAACAGAGTACGAGAATAAGGAGGTAGTGACCCCAGTTAGGAATATGATACACAACTTAAAAGCATGCAAGATGCAAAAGTGCTGACAACTCCTGCCTGTTTTCTCAGGATCTGCAAAGTATGATTAAAATGTCACATCTTATCAAGAATTTTATGATTACTGTGTACCACTAATTTAAAAGTTGAAGCACCATGACGCAATTCTGCATCTGTACAAACAGATCAAAGAACAATTTCAAACCTATTAATGTTAATGGAAACAGCTCAAGTCAAGAGATCTAAAGAAAAATCTGTAGTGCATTAAAAAAAATTGGAATACAGTTTTTATAGTGTATTAACAGAAGGGTTTGATTGCTTTTTCTGTAGGTAAGTTATTGACTGGAGTGTCCCTCCCCCATGTAGCTTGACTGACCAGCTATTATGAGGAGAAATTCAAGTGTCCAAGTGAAAACTGGAAGTAATTGGAAGAGATCTTTATCAAAACATATACAAAAGGTATATCCTACATCGGTCTTATATCAAGAGTCAAGAGCATATACGTGGACCCTCACCCTGCAAACATGATTCACATACGTAAATAACCCGTTATTAACAGTCATAAATAACCCTGAATGACATGAAACTGTTCAGACATTCACAGGTAAGTATGAAGCAGGTCGTGATTCTGTGACGCTAGAATAGTTGAGGATTTCTTTCCCGTGCTAATGCTTGCACCTTGAGACTAAGAGATACAGCTTAACAATTCATAGTATGGGAATTAATTAATTTGAGGAAATCAGTAATGTGGTACCAGATAGCAAATTAAAGGGAAGCAATAACCTCTGATAGTTTGATACGAGCGAGTACAAAACTACCACTCACTACTGCCATAGTGGATTTCTTCAGCATCCCACTACAAATTACTAGAGGATTATTTCACTTTTAAAAGCCTACTGATTTGTTGTATTTTGTTGACATGCAAATCAGATTTGTACTTCCTTGTAAACCTCATCCTCAAAAGCTTCTTCATTTGCCCGTAAAACTGCAATTTGGCTGAAAATAAGCTAAAATCTGAGCCCTCTGAAAAAAATCAGCTGGCTTCAGCTAGGTGAAGGGTTTTGCCAGTCTACACACCTGACCTTGCTGGAAGTTTTGTTTTCTCTGAAGATATAAATATATCTCTATGTCTATACATACAGGAGGGTTTATGCATAGATATGTAACATAATGACCTCCACATTGGTGTGCAAGGAATGATAGGGAAGCAGGTGTTAGATGTAAGAAGCCTTTATTGCATTTGAGGACATCAGTGCTTGCCATTATGTTTTTGACAGGGTTGCTCTAGAGGCTCTGCAGACTACGTCCAAATCCGAGCAAACAGAGAAGTGGCAGGTTTTATCGGGTTTTCCCTAAGGCGGGCAGGTCTGAGACTCGCTCTTGCATTTGGTGGGGTGGTGGTATTCACCCAGCTTCTAAGAGGTGGGTCGCCAAGAAGTTTCTTTATAGGGTTGTCACTACCCATGACCTAGTCAACCTGCACCCAGGCACAAAGCAGAAGATCACGGATTTATTATATTCAGAGGCTACCAGGTGAAAGAGAGTGTTAAAACTTGACAGTGAATCAAAAAGCTGTAGTCATTTATGCCAGCAGGGACTCTCATACTTATGAAACTGTATATTACATGACTTTTTTGAGGTCCAGCTCCCAGCTCTAAACAAGTTCTGCATAACATCCCACCAAAAATACTGCAGATGTTACAGATCATCTAGGCTCTGTTTCATTAGGATAGCTCTGCCTGATTTGCTGACTGAACAATTATATGTATTCACTCACTGAGCTTTAGACTTTATTGAAACACTTCAATACAAATGTACAGAGAACACATTTAAAGAAGAACTCACACCTTCTTCTGTACATTTATGCATTCAGTGGCGTGTGTGCATATGCCTTCCTGACAGCTGTTGTTTTCTTTCAGGGATTAAAAATATCAATATTGATCTGGTTGGTATCAATTGAGATGCTTATGTTATTTCAAGACTGCGCGATCTGTGCTAAATCAGATGAAAATTGATTAACTTTTCTGTCAATTATTTTAAAAAATTTGTGGTTTTTGATAAAGTAAAAAGGGCTTCTGTGTTTCACAGAGAAGCCAGCTGCTTTGATTTTTGACAGCTTTCACTACCCTTGAGACTGTTTAGAAGAAAATACAAGGCATTTGTGACTACTTTGATGCTAAGCGTGCTCTACATAGTACAACTCCTAATTATTTTGTGCAAGTGGAGGCTCACATCTGACAAACAGAAGAATTCCACAGAAATGTGCTGCGTTTGTTTGTTCTTTTCCTCTAGCAGTTTAGGGGGTTTTTTTACTCACTTATTTTATCCTGGGAAATTACTAAGACACTAGCAATGCTCCAAAGAAGCAAATTAGCTTCTATGCTTCTCTGTTTGAAGATAGATGAGGTGAAAATACACTTCACATGAAGACAGTACTGCGGGTAAGGAATCCCACTGAACACAGGCTCCCTTAAAAGAGATGAGGAGTGCAGAGAAGCTCTTTCCCTTTGGGAAGGTGAATGGGCATGGGAGGACACTACCCAGTACGAGGGGACCTCCTCACCCAGCACAGCAACTGGCTGGAGTTGGAAATGCTATTTCTTCATGAAGACAGTGACCGCTGAGCACAGCAGCACCAGCCGGTGGGTGGAGGTGGAGGAGGAGGCAGCAGCCTTGCCCTGAGCACCCAGCCTCCCTTCAATGCGCTCCTGTGGGAACTCAGGAGCACAAGGCTGGGCTTCACTGGAACCAGAAAGCTCCCAGGGCTCTTGCTGGGAAGAGGACAGTGCTGTGGCAAAAACAGAGCTGCAAGAGCTAAATACAGTTATCTACAAAACCTCCTCCACCCAGGACCAAGCTCAGTATGCTGCCCTGCAACTGCTAGTGCTTGCCTACATTAATGCATCAGAGAGATGAAGCTCTGTGTGAATTTTACCCATGTGGAATCTATGATACAGGAGATCAAATTTAAGATCTAGCTACAAATGCCAGAAAATATTCTTGGGCCAAATTTGGATGACTGATAACACGTAAGAGGAGTCCAAAGTCAACCACATGTTACTAATCCTCAAACTGTATTAGGACACTTGAAACACATAAGCAGAAGAAATGTGCGATTGACTCAATAAAGTTGCAATATATTTAATTGCTTAAAAATAATGCACTTTGCAGAAGGCTTGGATGAATGAAAAGCACACCCTCTGCCCACAGAGTCTGCAACTTATTCACATACACTATGCATCTCCACCCGTGAGAGCGCCACACAAGTCAATGCAAGTGCTTATCCTGATAAGCACTGAGTGTTCCTCAGCAGTAAGTTGCTGGGGCTCAGCACCTCCTTGGGAAGAGCTCACAGTATCCAGATCAAAGGAGCCCTTCTCTGCTTTCACGTAGTCTGATACTGCTAAGAGTTAAGTTAAACTCCAAGAAGTTCTATAACTACTTGCCATTTGTATCTTCTGTTTCAGAACTGAAGAGGGCTCTGCATGCCCAAAAGCACATCTGTTTTTCCCAGATATGTTAGCTGGCTGAAGAAAGGATGCTGCCTCTCCTCGAAGGCTTAACCTTGCTTATTAAGTAATGCAAATTCCACCTGAGTATCTGAAATCTCAATCCACTAGCTTGCTGAATTCCCAGATGTTTGAGGCTGATGTATATAATGTTGCAGGATCAGGCCCTGCATCTGCATCTGTAAACTATTCTTGGTGATCAGCCTTAAATGTAGCTAAGGAGGTTAAAACATATGAAAGCATCTGATGATTTTGGAAGCAAAGTACTCTGTAGCTTGGCTGGTAAAGTATTCGAACTTGTTCTGAAACAGCAGAAAAAAAACCTCGCATCCCTGGCTGGAAAGATATGTCAAAACTGAACTACAGTGAGAAAAAGAGTAATAAGAAAGGGCACAAATGCCTCTGTCTTAAAGAAAAGCTCATACCGACACATTGATGTTTCTCCAAAATGATGAGTTGGAAAGCTGCGCTAGACACTGACAGAGCCCGTACTCTCCTCGCTGCTATAACGATCCCCATTCATTCCTGGCATCAGCCTTCTCTCTTTTTAATGAGGCTTTTCACTCAGACTTTTCTGCTTAGCTATTAACCCAGCAAACAAGTCTAGGAGATTTTCAAACTATTGTTTTCTCTGCATTTTAACTGCCTGAGTTTTTATACCCTTTTGTCATTCCACTGAACAATCTTTTCCAGCCAGGGGATAAAGCGTGGAGAAACAGTCCCTGGTTTTCCAACACAAGGAAAGGGAGAAAAGGCAGATATAGGAGCCAATTAGTCCAAACTACCTAGGAGTAAAAGTAGGGGCAAGAAATGAGAATAAATCCAAATCCAAATGAAACATGCAGAAAACGAAAACTGCAATAGTCAGCAAGGGACAGGACCTGAAGTCATTAAGACACACCTGAACATCTAAGCTGGAGATGAAAACATGGTCCTCCAGGGGTGACCCCGAGTTGCCTCCCCTGGGCCTGGGGGCACGCAGCACATCCTTGCTGCCCAGAGACTCTCTTCTGCTTTCCTGAAGCAGAGCTTTTCCGTCAGCTTTTCCGATGGCTGCCGCTGGAGGCAACTGCTGCATGTCTTGCTCCCTACCACACTGTGGTTTTAATCTTGCTGGCTTTTGGCCCCATTCAGCACAGGTGTGAGGGAGGGAGGGCACAGGAGAGCAAAGCACCTTGTGCCATGAACAGATGTGAACCAGTCAGCACACAGAGCTGGTGGGGAAGGAGGTGAGAAGAAGGGATTGATTTTCCCCTCCCACCCCCCAACTAGCACCTTGAATCAGCCTGTGTGGTACCAGTCACACCACAGTGGGCCAGCCAAGCCCCCCTCATCGTATTTTTTCTCCACATTACGGCTGTATGCAGCCCTAGCTGGCTATATGTTAGTCATGAGGCAATATGAGGTAATTTAAGAGGCTTTTTCTTTGGGGTTTATCCCTTTCAAGGAGGTGCTGAGCCACTGCATAGTCACCATGCTAGCTAACAAACTGGCTGTTATGACACTCACAAATAAAGCCAAGGGATGCTCTACCTTGGGGTGGAGAATCGCACCTCCCTAGCTGGAGCCGTGACAGGCTGATGATGCCTTCACAAACCTTGAGCAGTTTTGTCTGCTCACAGTGGGTCATAACTTTGGCAATGATTCCTCTCTTTCTGTTAAACACTCTCCCTCCTCTCCCAGAATAAACATTTAGCATGCTGCTAAGAGGTATCTACCTCTACGCTGCTATCTCACGGTGTCACGGGACCTTGGGCCCTGCCCTTCCCTGCTGTTCCCGCTTAACTAACTCCGCTTTACTCAGCATTAACATATATCTTCCTAAATAATGCATAAGCTAATCATTGCTTATATTCCCTTGGACCAGGGGCAAGTAATGAATTCAGCACAAATCATTCAATGTACTGACAGTAGTACAGCTGAATAATGGACTCTATTAATAACGCTAAACTTACTCGGCACTCGGTAGGATGGCCCTTGTTTGGTACGGGATTATTTGATGTAAATACTCTGGTAAAAACATTGAAAGATGAAGGAAGGGTGACAGGAGAATATTAAATTTAGCTGGTGACCTAAATATATAGCAATATGTATGCTGGACTTGGAGCCTTACAAGTGTCGGAAGCTGAGACACAGTGCTACAGCCTGTCAGAAGGCTGAGCCAAATCTCTTCAGTCCTCCTTGCCCTCTCCTTAAAGCCACACTTGGAGTTCATTGGGTAAGATACAACTCTGTCAGTGTAAGGGCTGATTTTACGTGGGATCCAGGGAGAAAAAAAAAAAAAAATTGTTCTTCAACCCTCTGGATTATAAAAAAAGGCTCATTTACAAAATGTTCTGTTCCTCAGAGAGGACAGGGTTGCTGGTAATTAGTCACCACTGAAGGGGAACTTGTGAGGTCAGATGTCGTGTAGCAGCAGGAAGGCACCACCAGCGACGCCACAGCAGGTTGGCTGCATCCAGCCCATGCAGGAGCAGCAGCTCCCATTGAATTCCTGCAGGCTTTCAGCTGCAGGTGTTCGATCCTAAATGTGGCAATCAGCAATGTAACTCAACAGAGTATGGGACGCTGCCACATCCTGCCCCACGCCAAATCCTGGAAAAAAACATGCCCCTATTGACTTGTCAGTTTAAGGCACACACAGGCAGGCAGGAGGCTCACACTGATGCCTATTAAAGTCGGAGCAAACTCTTGGGGTATATTTACTACAAGAAACAGAGCATCAACGTGTGGCCCGAGCTGGTAAACACAGGCTTGGCCTCATAAAACTGCAGAGTGCAGCTACAGCACAGGTCTGCAGCATGGAGCCCCGCTCACACAGGGCTATTCCCCAGCCTGAAACATTTGCCTCTTGGCAGAGTTACTATATAATTTCCAGACCCAAACTGGCTTGTTTCCAACCACCTTGGTACCAAGCTCCCCCTCCTGGACCACCCCCTCCCAAAAATCTATGAGCCCAGCAGCAGAAAGTGTGAACCTTTGACTCTGATAAGGTACTTACCCTGGCACCAGGGATTGAATAGGATGTAAGTGTCAGTTGCTGGGTTTCTGTGTGTCCGGAGGATGCCAAAGGGAGTCCAGACAGCAATGTACAGGCGAAACTTCCCAACGATGCAGGTGGCAGAGGACATGATGGACAGGCGAACAGAGTTGTTCTCCTTGTGGGTAATCTCGGCTCCCCACCTACCGGGTTTCAGCACATCATCTACTGGGATTGGGATGTAGGTGCCTTTGTTTTGCTGTGGGTAGCGACCTGGAGAGAGGGGGGGATAACTCCATGAAGAGGTTCACCTTGTTTTGACAGTCTCTTCGTTTCCTGGCAGTCCTCTATCCCTTTGTCTATTTTCAATGGAGGTGGAAAGTTTTAGTGGGCAGAAACCACCTACCTCCCTCAGAGCTTTACAGAGTGCCCGGTCACTTGGCAGTACAGCCGCACGAATACACGCAACACTTCCCAGTAGGCAGCCTGTGCAGACACCCCCACCCATCTTGCTCCAGCAAGCTTCAGTCTCGCTGGCTCAGGCAGTGCCAGGAGAGTAGCCCTGGCAGCACGAGCAGGGGCTGTCCCAGGCTTTCCTTGCTCATCACCGTTTATCCTAGTGCAGCAAGCTGCACTCCAGCTTGCTCCTTGCCTTGGTGTCAGCTACACTGTTGGTAAGTTTAGGTAAGAGCCCCTTCCCCAGTTCAGATGCACCCACCACCCTCATGGCTAGCACGCAAGTGCCCACTGGGGCATGGACATTGGCTTTGGGGCTCTTTAGCAGAGCAGAACCTTGTTCTTCTCACTGCACTGTTGCGCTGATAAGCAGAGACCAAGCACTCTTTCATGCAAGTCCACACAGATGGAGGAAATACAAGTCAGTCCACCAGCAGATACCCAACACTCAGTTCCTCCCGAGTGTCTACTCCTCACGGACAGAGTGGGAACCAACTCTGGACACGCTGAGCATAGGTGAGCAAATCTGGGCTGGATAGCCAAACTTTCTCGGCAAGCAATGGGTCCCAAAGTACGACACACCTCCAAAGTACCGCATGTGATAGTCTACCTCATAGTAAAACAAATCACACCCCAGAGAAGCCTATTTTACTCTGCCAACTATAAAAAGCATCTAGACGGATAGGCTACATGTAAACATGTACACTGCCAGGATTCAAAGTTGTGTGAGGATCCACCCTTTGAGCCTGAGGTAGAGCCAAACTATATCTGGAAGCCAACCAGCAGCATAGACAGAAAAGACACTTGTGAGAAGGCTGAGTTCCTTATCTCATTCTCAAATCTATTCTTCGTTTTATATTTTAGGCTGAAATTCAGACTCTCTCATTCAAAAATAGGGTAATGAAAAGAACGATGGCAGACAGAGAGACAGACTTCTATATTTTTCATTCCTACTATTTAAGAACTTCAAAATTAAACTCACAAGGGCGTTGATTTTCCTGCTTGCTTATTTTTATACAGCTGATGTAGCAATAATCCCAGATCTGAACACTGCTACATTCTGGGAAAGGACAACTCCAGCTTTGAATCTGAAGCTTGCAAGCTGCCACGACATCCGTGTTTCTAAGAAATCTGGGGCTACTGTGCTTCATCCAAGAGATTATTCGGTGCACATGAATTTCCATTTTGCAGATGTTCAGTGCACATAAATAGCCCACTTTGCCCTGTTGGCCAGGGATGCTGTAACCCATGAAACCCATTCAGATCAGCGAGGGATGCAACAGAAGTGAAAGACCTACAGAAGAAAAAAGGACTAGAATAAGAGAGCAAAACCAATAGAAAACACTAGAAGATAAAACACTGGACACTTCAAAGGAAAGCCAGTCTAGAGAGAAGAGCCTATAGAGGTAGCAGAGATGAGAGTCTTGCGCCTGCTAACAGTTGCAATCTGAGAGCTGAACATATTTTTGTTCTTTGTAGTGCAACCAGGTATGATCTAGCTTGCCTCTACAGTTGATATTTTGCTTCTAGTTTTGACATAATTGTTTTATTTTTAAAAAAGCAGTCCACGCAAACAAAGCAGCAGAGCAAACCAAGTAATTGAACTGACATCCTTGAAAACTGTTAACAAGTGCTACTTTTTAAAATACCTCCCTTACCTCCTTCAGAAAGGTGGGAGAGGGAAAAGATTACTATTTTAACGTGGTTAGGAACTGACACTGTCATCTTCACTGGAAGCTGCACGTTAGTGTAGGAGCCCATTGGGGACAGAAGGAGCTGTGCTGTGGCGGGGGCTTTGCACCACCATGTCCATGTGCACCACATGCACATGGGGAGACTGCAGAACCACTCCCCAGTAAATCTGCCTATAGGAACCAGGTAGGATTCCAAAGAGGCCATGGGGCCTTTGCAAGACATCCTTATGGAAACCCCCTCACCAGCACCTCATAGCAGGCTTGGCAAAGTACCAAGCCTCTCGTATTCTCACTTTTCTGAAACCTCAACACACACAACTCCGTTTGCCCTTCCATACAAAGGTCCCTCTTGTGTGCAAAGCCACAAGACACCCTAATCTACCTGTTGCCTGACAAGGGAGCACCTGTAGCTGCTGCTGAGGAGTATGCAAGGTCCTTTCAGCCCAGAGCCCGTGCATGCCCCACACAGCTGCTCCCACTCAGTAAGAGAGAGAGGTCACTGCACTGTCTTTCTCACCCATGAGGAGAAGGCACTCTGGGGTATTGCCTGCATCCCTGCAGACATAACAGGGATGCCAGGGAAGGGATATCCTAAAAGTCAGGATAATTTGTAGATGTTATAAACAGTAGATACAAGAGAACATCGTTTGCTTCTGACAGACGAGCAGGGTTCAGTGCTCACTAATGGTTGCATAAATCCTGAACCCACGAGGAAGCCTGGGAAGATAGGCAGAGCCCTCAAGAGCACAGTGAGCAATTTCCAATATTTTCTTTGAAGAGAGGACAGGTTCCCTAATCTTCTGAAACAAAAACCTAAATGTAAATGGAAGAGCAAGGGAATTGTTACTTCTGACAGGGGCTTGTGGAGCTGAATTGTAATCATACATCTAGACACCTGACAGCATCAGCCACACTAGTCTCATATACACACATCTGTTGTCTTGATACTAGAGCGCTATAAAGCTGATTAACTTTGGCATTACATGCTAAGGTTGCTGGCAAAAGAATTCTTATGTAGGTTCAGTACTATGTTTATCAACATCGTAGGGAAGTCCTCTCAGGATGGTTTGGCTGTTTGTCTTTTACCTACATCTTGAGCACACATTTCTGGCTGCAGTGGAAAAATAGGGCCAACTGTGGCTCATAGTTAGGACATCTGTAATGTCAGCCCTTTCTCAGAAGGGATAATGTGCAATGGTGATTTCATTCTCTGGGTAGAGTCTCTAAGGAAGAAGATTCAATGTTATCCAAAGACTCATTACCAAAAGCCTGCGAACGCCTGGCAGAGCACTCTCTGCAGGATCTCTGGTGCTAACCCAACCCATGGAGAGGCAGGAGGGTGTTTGGGTGCATGTCAGGACCAGGAGCCATGTAGAGAAGATAAACTCTTTTTATGCTGACAGGAGGGTGCTTCTGCCAGCAGCATCAGCTGGCTCAGGATCCTTCTCGCTCTGATTTGCTCCAGGAGTTGGCAGCCTGAACCACACTCTGCAGCCAGTTCTTTGTGGTTGCCTCACTCCCCGATGCTTACGTGTGCTTTGGGTGTAGGAGGCCCTGGCCCTCACACGAGGACATTTCATAGCCAGTTGCTCTGTGAAAGACAAAGTTGTTGTGTGACATCACACTGTTGGGATGTCCCTGTCTGCTCTCTCTAACAGCACATGGAAAATCCAGCCTGAGAATTTGGAAAGCCTGGAGGTTGCTGCACTGTTACCACCAGGCACAGGGTGAATTTTTTATAGGCTCCTTTTGCAGCTCAGAAGATATCAGGCACTGAATGGGGGCTGCTGACCGTCTTGCCTTCAAGGCAGGAGAGGACAGGAGAGAATTCACAGTGGCCCTCTTCCATGGGCCTCCAACTCTCTGCATTTCAATGCTAGATACTGAGCCACGATACTGCCAGAAAACATTATTTTTACAGAAACCTCTCTTTTACAGAAGGTTTAATGGCCCAAACATATCTATTTCCCCTGCTTCACAGTGCACAGGCCTGCAACCTTTTGGTACTTCTTTCTTATCCCACTTTGGTTTCTGTGGGAAAAGAAACTCCTAAAGTTCCTGCTCACTTCAGTTGCAGCTCAACTCTGCTCTACACCTCCTGGGCTTTCTAGGCACCCAGGAAAAGAGGAGCAAAATAGCTGCTGTTGCTGTTAAAGGAGCTCAGGTCTCCCTCAGTGCTGCATCACAAGGCTTTGAAAGTAAGTAAACATGAGTGAAGGTCTACATGGTGAAATGCCTCATGACTGAAGCATGTGTGGATGTGGGCATGTATGGCATACCCCCGCCACACACACACACACACATACACACACACACTTTACAGGGGCAAAATAGCTGCTGTTGCTGTTAAAGGAGCTCAGGTCTCCCTCAGTGCTGCATCACAAGGCTTTGAAAGTAAGTAAACATGAGTGAAGGTCTACATGGTGAAATGCCTCATGACTGAAGCATGTGTGGATGTGGGCATGTATGGCATACCCCCGCCACACACACACACACACATACACACACACACACTTTACAGGGGCAAAAAGCAGAGTGCAGTGTTTGTTAAAGCTTGCCGAAGTCTTATTTATGCAGTAGCAAAAGAATGAGCCATCTAAAACACAGAACTGTGGCCACATGCACATGCATTCAAAGTGAGTTATTTTTAACATATGCCTCAGCTCCTTAGCATGTCAGCTCAGGGCCCATCAGGCATGGAGGCAAGCTGTGTTTATTTCTGGGTAAAACTGCCACACCAGAGAGGGATTTACAGCAACAGAGGGGGAGCGAGAGATAGGTACGGCAAGTTCAGTTAGGCAAAACACGAGCGCTCCTCCTCCGGCTATCCAAGTCTGCTGCTGGTCCTTCCAAGTGACTAACAGGGATCAGGGCTTCCTAAAACCACACTCCTCCTCCTCCCCTGCCCAGTCCCTGGAAGCCCCTATCTCCATCTAGTTTAGTTTTTCCCTTGATCCCCAGTGGACATCATACATATTGCTGTATGTGTGCATGGATTAAACAGCTCTTAAATGCCACTGCTGAGTTAGTGCCATGCTGTTAGCTCAGCCAGCGGAAGGACTGACGGGTGCTCTTGGATGGGCCCTACACAAGTGAGTAGATGTTTTACTTTCGGCAGGGAAG